GATACAGTCTCTCTCACTTGGGAAGGTATGGCCCCTCTCAAAGGCAAATACAGACATGGCCACATTTTCTCTGTTGCTGCACACCTCGGTGTTGTTCCACATCATCCCCACGGTAAGACAGTATGGGTCTTAACCTTGGCTCCTGGTGGCACAAGATCTAATGGCTCAATACCATTCTAACCCTAGAACCTGGTGCCTTCACCACCTAAAACACCTAGAAAATGAAAATTAGCAAGTTCATGCATTAAATGCAAAACACCTGTTGCTTCATGCTCTGGTAAGCCAACATGCAAAGTGCTTGTTCTATGCTTGCAGGATCTTGGGGCCAGCCCCAAACATCCTATAACCACTGGGCTAATGGACACTGAACCCACTCTTACTTGATAAGGACATTTTGGATAGGGAAGCTTCTGCCTATACATCCTGCAAGTTCCATTTAGTCACCGGGGAAGTCCACTGAAGGTCTTCCAGTGACAATACATAAAGTCAAATCCCTGGGGGATAACACAGAATTAGAAACTGAAAACTTGAAACTTTACTCCTTATTTTCAAAATACATTTTAAAACATTGTACAACACAAGGCTAAGATAATGGCTAAGATAATTTAATACTGGCTCCAAGCTATTCTTCAACACCCCACAAATGAGGCACCTAGCCTGTATTTCCAGACCTCAAAATGTATAACACTTTAAAATACTCCCATAGATGGCACAAGACCAGACACATAGACCAATGGAATAGAATAGAAGCCCCAGAACTAGACCCACAAACGTATGGCCAACTCATCTTTGACAAAGCAGGAAAGAATATCCAATGGAAAAAAGACAGTCTCTTTAACAAATGGTGCTGGGAGAACTGGACAGCAACATGCAGAAGATTGAAACGAGACCACTTTCTCACACCATTCACAAAAATAAACTCAAAATGGATAAAGGACCTGAATGTGAGAAAGGAAACCATCAAAACCCTAGAGGAGAAAGCAGGAAAAGACCTGACCTCAGCCGTAGCAATTTCTTACTTGACACATCCCCAAAGGCAAGGGAATTAAAAGCAAAAATGAACTACTGGGACCTTATGAAGATCAAAAGCTTCTGCACAGCAAACAACCAACAAAACTAAATGCAACCAACAGAATGGGAAAAGATATTTGCAAATGACATATCGGACAAATGGCTAGTTTCCAAAATCTATAAAGAACTCACCAAACTCCACACCCCAAAAACAAATAATCCAGTGAAGAAATGGGCAGAAAACATGCATAGACACTTCTCTAAAGAAGACATCCAGATGGCCAACAGGCACATGAAAAGATGCTCAACATGACTCCTCAACAGGGAAATACAAATCAAAACCACACTCAGATATCACCTCCCGCGGGTCAGAGTGGCTAAAATGAACAAATCAGGACACTACAGATGCTGGAGAGGATGTGGTGAAATGGGAACCCTCTTGCACTGTTGGTGGGAATGCAAACTGGTGCAACCACTCTGGAAAACAGTGTGGCGGTTCCTCAAAAAATTAAAAATAGACCTACCCTCTGACCCAGCAATAGCACTGCTAGGAATTTACCCAAGGGACACAGGAGTACTGATGCATAGGGGCACTTGTACCCCAATGTTCATAGCAGCACTCTCAACAATAGCCAAATTATGGAAAGAGCCTAAATGTCCATCAACTGATGAATGGATAAAGACATTGTGGTTTATATACACAATGGAGTACTACGTGGCAATGAGAAAAAATGAAATATGCCCTTTTGTAGCAACGTGGATGGAACTGGAGAGTGTGATGCTAAGTGAAATAAGCTATACAGAGAAAGACAGATAACATATGGTTTCACTCTTATGTGGATCCTGAGAAACTTTACAGAAACCCAAGGGGGAGGGGAAGGAAAAAAAAAAAAAAAGAGGTTAGAGTGGAAGAGAGCCAAAGCATAAGAGACTCTTAAAAACTGAGAACAAACTGAGGGTTGATGGGGGGTGGGAGAGAGGGGAGGGTGGGTGATGGGTATTGAGAAGGGCACCTTTTGGGATGAGCACTGGGTGTTGTATGGAAACCAATATGACAAGAAACTTCATATATTGAAAAAAAATAAAAATAAAAAAATAAAAAATAAAAAATATAAAAGAACAAAATAAAATAAAATAAAATAAAATAAAATAAATAAAATAAAATAAAATAAAATAAAATAAAATAAAATAAAATAAAATAAAATAAAATAAAATACTCCCATAGAGCCTAAGGGACAAATTCTTGACATACACTGGTGACTTCAACATACCACCTAAAAGAAACCTCCCCAGCACCCACACCAGTAAGTCAATCAGAATGAAAGCAATTACCAATGCCGTAATTGAGGCTTCTGGTGACCAGGAATAATTCAAACCCAAAGGTGCAAGCACTGAAAATATACAGGGAGAATTATTTCCCCTCTTTATATGAATTTTTATGGCTTGCCACTGAGCCCAACCAATTATTACTAAAGCCTTTGGGCAAAGGCTCAAAGCCAATGTAAGACACTAGGTGAAGCCTGACTCCTTCCCAATCAGATTAGGATGGCACAATGGGTCTATCACTTCTTGAAACATAGCAAGCCCAATGATCTAGATTCATTTCCAATTCTAAGGAAGCCACAGTATACCCACATCCAGAAAATTATTTTTATGAGAAGACCTCTCAAATTATAAGGATGTACTCCTCCACATTGTGGGGACTTTTCTTACTGTTCAAAAAGCTCTTGAAAGAAATGACATGTGGCCCACCATGAAGATGCTCACCAGACTCAGATTGTATAGTACAATGATTAGCCACAAAGCCAGCTCTCAGTGCCAGACCCTACACACCACCTCATAGACATTAGCCCACCTCAAAAACTATATAGCAAAACTGACAACTTCAAGGTGAAAAGAACAAACCAAGATGATAGAATGATAGATTATAACATATATCTCTCAGTAATAAAGAAACCCACTAGACAACTATCAATAAGAAAATAAATTATTTATATCATGGGCATTATGTGCAACCCAACAACTTGTAATCACATTATATGCATTGTTTTTTCAAACACAAATAGGATATTCACATAAACTACCCACATTATGTTAACAGAAATTCAGTACATTTGTTAAAATATCAACATTTACAGATTACAACAGCTGAATATAATAAATTTAAATTAGAAATAACAAAAATTTAAATTAAAAAATGTAAACAGGTATATTTTAAGACAGTACAAAACAGATTTCATTTTATTTTATTTCAGAGAGAGAGAGAGAGAGGACACAAGTAAGCAAGGGGCAGAAAGAGGAGGATCACCTGGAACAGAGCTCATGCTCATAAGGGCAGGGCTTGATGTCACCCAGAGTGGGGCATGAGCTCACTAGAAGCAGAGCATGAGGTCACCTGGAGCAAGGCTCAAGGTGAGGAGAGGGGCTCCAGCTCAACCAGAGCCAGGCACATGCTCACCCAAAGCTGGGTTCAAGCTCACCCAGAGCAGGACTAGTGCTCACCAGGAGCAGGGCACAAGCTCAACAAGAAGGGGGTTCCAGCTCATCTGAGGCAACGTTCATGCCCACTGATGCCACTCTCATTCTCACCAAGAGTGGTACACATGCTCACCTGAGCAGGGCTCTAGCTCAAGTGAAGCAGGGCCCAAGTTCATCTAGGCACAGGACTCAAGCTCACCTTGAGTAAAGCACAAAATAACCAGAAACAGGGTTCAAGGTCACCTGGAACGGGGCATGAAGTCACTCAGAGTGGGAACTGAAGTCACAGGGAGCAGGGCTAGAACTCAACTGGAGCAGGGCTCCAACTCACCTAGAGAGGGGTACTATGTCATCCAGAGCTCAACACCAGCTCACCCAAAGTGGGGACATACTGAACTAGAGTGGGGCTTGAGGTCACCAACAACAGAGCTTGAATGCACCCACAGCAGGCTTGAGGTCACTTAGAGAGGGGTACCAGCTCAGATGGAATGGGGTTAGAGGGGTTCCTGGAACAGGAACCAAGATCACCCAGAGTTGGTCACATGGGCACACTCAGGGGGGCTTGAGATCACATAGAACAGAGCATGAGGTCACACAGAGCAGGGCACGAGGTCAGACAAGTGGGGCTGTAAGTGACCCAGAGGGTGGCTTCTGCTCACCCAGTGCAAAGCTTGTGGTTGTTGGCTCCTTCCTGCCGTCCTGGACAGCACTCTCCCTCGGCTCAGAGGCCCTCTGAGCACCAGAAGCTTCCAAATGCAGAGCACCCCACAACCCTCTTGGCAGCTCACCTTCCAGATACGCTTTAGCAAGGAGGCTGCTTTCGGCCTTTGGCAGCGGAGTGGAGGAGAGGCGTCTGGAGGGCGTGCCCTTGTGCGGCCGTGCCTCAGAAGCCGAAGCGCTGCTCCTGTCCTCCTCGGGTGTGCCTGCCAGAGGCTGCTCAGGGACAGCCGCGTCCTCTACGGAAGTAGGTCTTCCAGGGGAACTGGAAGTGGCCTTTTTGGGTGTTCCTGTCATGTGCAGGGGTGGCGAGCTCGTGGTTGCTGAAGACCTTCCCGTGGGGCGTGGATGAACTCTTGGATGGTAAGTTCGGAAAGCTTTCTCCAAACGCTCGGCCTCATCCTCTAGCTCTTTCACCCTTGCCTTGGTCTTGGCTACAAACTCCAGGTCAGAATCGGGGGAACTACTCCCGGTGCTCGCACTTGGGTCACTTGCGATCCTTGACAGAAGCATGCCTGCCGTCAGCCTTTCCAGTCCAAAAGCATCTTTCAAGAAATCCCCGCTTACATCGTTGTGAGGTACCACCACGTCGCCACCCATTAATCCGCTGATGGGCCGATCGAGCAGAGAATTCTTTGGGTGGCGGTACACCTCGTTCTCTAGGGCTATGGGTTACAAAACGACAGTGTGAGAAAGGATGGGAAAAGGTGGAGGATAGAGTTAAAAGAGATCAAGAGCATTCTTTTGCAAAAATCAAAGTATTCAGGACAAACTCGCACATTCAACACTTTCTGAAGCTGCAGTCATGATCAACATTTATCAAGAGAGTGCATGTACCAGCTATGGCTTCACGGCCTGCTTTCTTCACGCAGAGGGGGGAGGGGGAGAGAGAAGTGGGGGGGGGGATACAGAATCCTAAGCAGGCTCCAGGCTGAGCTGTCGGCACAGAGCCTGACATGGGGCTCAATCCCACAACCGCAAGGTCATGACCTGAGCTGAAGTCGGACGCTTAACTGACTAAGCCACCCGGGTGCCCCAAGACAAGAGTTTTACTTGTAAGGTGACACATTTCTAAAGCTTTTCCCTACTGTGAGAATTACAACTTCACTGAATCATCATCATTACGTGTTCCCAAGCATCAGAAGCTGCTCGCATTCTCTCTCCCACCTGTGCACCCTCACGCAAGTTAAAGAGGTCTCTAACCCGTCTGAGTTTGTTTCAGTTGCAATTTCAAATCATCCACCTGTCTCATTAATCTCTTTATGCAATCTTCGTAATCAAGGATCTGGGCCTTCAGCTGTGCAGAACGTTCAATCTGCCAAGATTTAGAGAAGGAAAAGAAATCCATGTAAAACCAATCACACAGCATACTTCCAAAGGCACAATTCTCTCATCGGGCTGATTTTCTTCATCAATTTGGCCAATTCTCGGCAGCCGGACACCCATCACCCCCGGGGTCCAGATGAAACAACAACAGAACCCACCAGCAAGCTCCACAGCTCCTTTTGCACTCCTCTCGAACAACAGCTACTCCAGCACAAGAGGCAGACGTCAGAAAGAGCATCAATACTGTTGCATCACAGGGGGGGGAATCAGCTACTTTTACCAGGGAGCACCAACAGGGATTGGAAAACTGCGTGTTTAGGGGGGTTTACTTTCCTCTCGGTTTTATTACTATGGGGAACCTAAGGTCACACAACAGCTTGAGAGTTTTCTCCAAGGACAAAGAACACTGGGGGAGTAATCAGCAGACTGGGGGCTCATTTCTGATGCCACCGGCTGACTGGTGCCGGTGTGGCGCACACCGAGTCCCCAGGCCCACAGAGCGGCCGCCCAGATGCCTGGGTGAGCCAGGCAGTACTCACTTCACTTTGCAGCTGCTTCTGCAGGTTCTGCCTGTGGATCTCGAACTCCTTATGCTCACACACGACAGCGTTCTCTGCTTTCTTTAGTTCTTTCTGAAAAGGCACCAGCTCTGGAGAAGGCTGAGCCAGGTCTGTGAAGGTAAAAAAGCCTGCTTGTCACCAGCCTCACGTTTTCTCGTTTCACCTAACCAAAGCAGCTCAAGAGGCTTTACGTTGTTCTTCCCTTTATACATGATAGTAATTAAGGAGACTAAGAGCCATCTTAACTCACCAACTTCCCAACAAAAGAATTACTTTAAAAAAAAGTTTATTTAAGTTTACTTATTTTGAGAGAGAGGCCGAGCACGCGTACGCATACAAGCACTGAGGGACAGAGACAGGGAGAAAGAGAGAATCCCAAATAGGCTCCGCACTGTCAGTGCAGAGCCCGGCGCAAGGTCTCCAACTCATGAACTGCAAGATCATCACCTGAGCCAAAATCAAGAGTTAGTCACTTAACCGACTGAGCCACCCAGACGCCCCAGAACAAAATAATTTAATGCACGTGACTGCACACTTTACAGCTCTCCAGGATTGTACTCCCAGTAAAAGAATTCTTTCAAATCCAGAAATTAACATGAAAGCCCACCAATCTGCCCTAGTACGCACAGAAGGCACAGGAGGAACCTGTCAGAACCTGCCAACGACTGCCCCGACGTCCAGTCCGACCTGGGCATCTGTCAGCAGCACTCAGGGTCCAGGCAGAAAGCAGATGGTGTCCCAGTTCGGGTCATTGGAAGATCCTTTACTAAAGGGACTCACATCGGGTAGCCACGAAGGACAGTGTAGTTCCCCGGGGTACCGGGGCCCTGTTGTCAACGCTCCTAGGGCCTAGAGGGTCAGGAGGGGAGGAATTCCCAGACCTGGAGAGCACGAGCAGGTACAGAGCCCTGAGAAGCCAAGGCCTGGGCTCCTGCCTGGCTGAGGCCCAGGGCCCGCCCTGGGCTACTGCACAGGAGGAGATGCAGAAGGGATCACAGCCACTTCGACCTCACTCTTTTCTCTCCCTCCAAGCACGGGAGTGTGTCCCCACTGGCCAAACCCAACCAGCATTCAGAGGGAAGGAGAGCCAAGGGCCACCCAGAGAGGCGTATTTATACAGTTGAAAACTTGTTAGTGACGCAACTTTGCGGCAGTGAGTGAAAAGAATGTACCTTCAATCCACGAAATTTTAGAAAACCTTCTCAATTGAAGCCTCCCTTACAGGGCAGCGAAGTTTCGGAATACTGAGCCAGTGTCAATCACAAAGGCATGCCAATCCAGACAAAACAAGACTTACGGTTTAGAAGGGGCAAGTTCTCATTTCTGGTCTCTCCCAGCTGTTGTTTAAGTAATTTATTTTGCGCCTGAAGCTCCAGTTTTCCTTGTTTCAGTAGCGAATAGTCACTCATTTCTTTCACCTTTTCATTCAGCAGGTGGTTTTGTTTGCTTATTGCCAAAGACTGGGTTCTGACCGACTCTAACTCAAGCTGGAATCGAAACAGAAACACCTGTATGTGAGTGGTGACTTCACACTTCTAAGTAAAAATTGCCAGGCTGCCTGAACACTGAACATTTAAATTGAACACAATTTAATGAAGGTCATCTGACTGAAGTCTGTTTCTCTGCAACAAGATCCGAACTCCAACAATTCTTTTGCCCAAGAGCTGGGGCAGGAGGAAGCTCATCCAACTGCACCTGTGGAAGACCTGGTCCTACCAAGCACTAGCTTGGGGAATCTGAAGATCCCCATTTTCCAGATGAAACTAAGGGCCCAAAAAGGCAACCCCAGATTGCAGCAATACATTTCTTAAATACAAAAGGGTGATATTTCACTAATGCACTGTGGTGCTTTCCTCTTCTCAGTAAAAATATAGCTCAAGTGTGAGAAGCCTACAGAACTCTCTAGTAAGTAACTCCTTACAAAATATGTTCTGTATGTAAAATGCTACAAAAATATGTTCTGTGCATAAAATTTAAGTACCTAAAGTTCCGGCTCTGTCCTTCAGATAGCACACAAGTTTTTGTAATGTTTGTTTGCTTTTTTATTTAAGAGAGAGGCAGAGAGAGGGAGACACAGAATCCAAATCAGGCTCCAGGCTCCAAGCTGTCTGCACAGAGTCCAGCACAGGACTTGAACCCACAAACTGTGAGATCATGACCGGAGCCTAAGTTGGACACTTAAACGCCAGGTGTCCCGTGAACACACAACTTAATACAAGTCAAGTAACAATGGCATTTGAAAAGTGCATCTCATCAGGTTTTAAACTGGGAGATTCTGACTTCCTGACAGGAATTTTTTTCTGCCCTTGATGGCAAGGGAGAAGAGGCTGAGGTAGAAGCTAGTGCGTACAAGCTGCATACGACATGCAAAACTCGGCTCCCCCAAATCCCTCCACAACCATGCATGGCGGGAACATCCCAGAGTTTACACATAAGGAGTCTGAGGTCACAGTGCTTGCCCAAAGGCACACAAGCAGAAAGAGAGAGAACACAGGATTCAGGCAGGGATTAGGCCCCAAAAGACATCCTCTTCCTATGCTTCCCCAGGAGACAAAGATGGAAACAAAGAACTAGCAAATGAACTGAAGTGCAGCCATCACCTTGAGTCACACGGTAACAAGACCCAACACATCAAGAGGGTAACTTAAGATAAATCACACAGGACTGAAGCTCAAGTTTCATATATTGTCTAATGTCTAAATCAAAAGAAAAGACTTCACAATTACCTCAAGCTCTTTGACACGATTTATACAATGACTGAGTTCTTCCTTTTTTGAATTAATAGCCATCAGCTCCTCTTGCAAACGTATAGCTTTTTCTGAAAGAAAGAGTCAACCAATTAACATCATCAGGTTTTCCTAGTGAATACACAAGTCATTTAATAATTTGTGGCCAGTATGTCAGACCTATGACCATTATTTCATTATCTGAATAGCAGATGTCAAGGTCAAAACAAATCAGCAGTAAGTAGGAAATAAGCCACGTTACTCAACAGGTAACAGGAAGTTAGTGTAACAGTCAGATATGTAGCAAGCCTCATCCTGCTGCAGAGAAGTCACCACTTATACCATCGGCTCTGAGCACAGGGCCCACATGCCGACAGGTCGGAATTTCCTTAAAGACAGATTTGTCCATTGTGATTTTGTACTTACTATTTTGTCATTTTCACTTCATCTAACACGGTCTATGAAGATGTATCATCAAAACCCTAATGTGCCAAATAGGTGATGGCACGGATACCTAAGTATCAGCCTCCACAAATTAACTGTGGAGGAGCAGACATACACTGGGTGACCTGGCCCGTCAGCATCATGTGCCTAGCCCTGGTTCACTCCCAAGAGTCCACTTCAAATTGTCACTAAAAGTTCTCTTCTTGTCATCGACAAAGTCCTAGAAATATATTAAGATGTCAAATATCTCAAAGACTGAAAAATTATTCAACTTACCTACTCTCAAGCTGACGTATACAAGAGTTTAAGGGATTATATGTTAAGTAGGGGTGCCTGGGCCAGTAAGTTTGTTAAGCATCTGACTCTTGGTTTCGGGTCTGGCCATGATCTCACAGTTCTGTGAGTTCAATCCCCACACTTGCTCAGCACTGATGGGGCAGAGCTTATTTGGGATCTTCTCTGACCATCTCTCTCTCAAAATAAAAAAAAATAAACTTAAAAAAAAAGATTATATGTCAAGTGAAAATATCATGAATCATAAAAATACATCAGAAGTAAAAGAAGTAAGAAACTGTATCACAGCGACACAGAAGTTAAAATTTTCCTGAAGTAAAAAATGAAGTGTCTTATGGTTAAGAGTAGTATTTACCAGATAGCAAAAAGTCGCTGGCACCTTGTTGATAATCACATCTATCAAAATACACAGAAATAAAGTTGGATAAAGCCCTGCTGATAAATCACTAACCTTAGTTCACAAAAATGTAGTAAAAAACAGTATTTTTTTATTTTGTAAAATTAACAAAAATCATGTCCTTTTTGCAGTAACACGAAGTGTAAGCAATGGCTTCTTGAGAATACAGAATAGACACTAGGAAGTTAACAGCCTGTGTTAGTGTGGAAAAATACAGCTTGCCCCCAGAGTCACCTTTATTCTTCCTTTCATCTTCTATCAGCCTGTTAGTTCTAGCAATATAGTCGTCCTTGAGTTCAAGTTGATATCTGCAAGTCAGAAAAACTAAAATGAGGGGCGCCTGGGTGGCTTAGTGGGTTAAGCGTCCAACTTCAGCTCGGGTCATGATCTCATGATTTGTGAGTTCAAGCCCTCCATTGGGGGCTGAGCTGTCAGCACAGAGCCTGAAGCCTGCTTTGGAATGTGTGTCTCCCTCTCACTCTGCTCCTCCCCTATCACACTCTGACTCTCTCTCTCTCTCTCTCTCTCTCTCTCTCTCTCTCTCTCTCTCTCTCTCTCAAAAATAAACATTAAAAAAAAAAAGAAAAACTAAAATGAGCTTGTCACTCTCCTGGATGGACTACTACCAATACCTGAGCTTATCTATGGGACCAGGGCAGCAAAGGGCACTGAGAGTGACCACGTGCAAACCTCAGGCTCTCTCAAGACGAGAGCCAGGGATCTGAATTCTGAACGTGAAAGGTCCAGAGAACTCTGCTGTGACCCTGTAAATTCAATTCTCAAATGCAATCACACAAAATGAAGGGTCCTGTTCTTGTGAGGGAACCAAGGACAATTACTTCCCTGTTGGTCTCAACCGACACAAGGAACTAAATGAAGTTAAATTTCCAGTGTGCATGACAGACTCTAAATCCCAAATGACAACTGAGTCAGTTGGTTATTCACCTCTCCAGTCCTGTAATTCACCTGTCCTGTCTCCCGTCCCTAACGGAAGAACTTCTGCCCTTAGGGGCTGAGTACAGTCCTGAGAGACAACGGCCAACAGCATTAGCACTGAATTAGAGACACCCAAAGGCTCATCTTACAAGCTTAAGCCACCTCCACCAGCTGTTACCAGCTGACTTTCTGGTTCAGAGGTCAGAGAAAGCAGAGAGAGGCACTTGCGTGATATCCTCCCAACGTGAACACTTGCTGAAGCCATAAGTACACCCAAGGCCAAATGATACCCAACAATTCACTGTATCCATTGCTACACCAAGTTCACATATACAGTTTTCATTTATTTCCCACCATTTAATGACTAGAGCTACTTCAGTATTCACTACTATGTTAGAGGAGAGGACATAAAACCCATCATTTCAAAACTGATACAATGAAAATGGTGCTACTTTTTTAACAGAATTTTTTTAAACAATAACCTCCAGGGATGGCTCAGTTGATTGAGCATCTGAGTTTGGCTCAGGTCCTGGTCTCCCAGTTCATGAGTTTGAGCCCTGTGCTGGACTCTGTGCTGACAGCTCAGAGCCTAGAGCCTCCTTTGGATTCTGTGTCTCCCTCCCTCCCTCTCTCTCTGCCCCTCCCCTGCTTGTGTTCTCTCTCTTTCTCAAAAATAAAAACATTAAAAGAAAAAAAAACAGCCTCCAGAAACCCTTGTGGGTACTACGTAATGGCATATCAATGACAAATTATAAGCAAGGCAATAAAAATGAGGCCAATGACTAAGAAACACCCAGGGAAGCTTAGTTGACTCTTCTCTTCACTACACATGCATTTACTCAATCAGTATTAACTGAGCACTTATTACGTGCCAGATGTTATACTGTGCACTAGAAAGTTACCATATGGGCTTAATGTCTTTGCATGAAGAGGTTATTCAGTGGGACACAAATTTCAGGCTATAAGAAAGCCACAGTGATCACATTCTCCTTTCCTATATTGTTTTTTGCTTCATAGAATTAACTGGGGTTTTTTTGGATTCTGATTCTGCAGAAGCCTGAAGAAATACAAGGCACATGTTCACTGACAAATACTATCACTAGTAGAAGACCAATGTATAAATCATTAGCTAGCCCCATCTTAGTGTCAGTATAATAAAAGATAACAGAAAGTGATTTTAGGGGTGTCTGGGTGGTTCAGTTGATTTAAGCATCTGACTTCAGCTCAGGTCATGACCTCACGGGTCATGGGTTCAGGCCCTGCATTGGGCTCTGTGCTGAGAGTTCAGAGCCTAGAGCCTGCTATAGATTCTGTGTCTCCCTCTGTCTGCCCCTCTCCCACTCACACTCTGTCCCTCTCTCCCTTTCTCTCTCTTTCAAAAGTAAATAAATATTTAAAAAAATGAAAATGACTTTAATTTCAATGTTATAGATTCTCATCTGCGCGAACTGAGCAAATCTTAAAGTGCCCCCAAAATTAAAGCAAACCACATACCCTCAGGAAGTGTCAGAGAAGCTACAAGTAAGAATGAGGGGTGCCTGAGTGGCTCAGTTGGTTGAGCATCCAGCTTTAGCTCAGATCATGATCTCATGGTTCATGAGTTCGAGCCCTGTGTCAAGCTCTGTGCTGACAGCTCAGAGCCAGAAGCCTGCTTCAGATTCTGTGTCTCCTCTTTCTCTGCCCCTCCCCCTGCTTGAGCTGTGTCTCGCTCTCTCAAAAATAAACAAACGTTAACATTTTTTTTTTTTTTTAAATGAGCAGAGGATGCCATTCTCCATATGTACCTTTTCAACCTATCTTAAATACTCACGAGAAAGGCTGGACTACCAAATGAAAACACAGATTTTTTTCAACACCCAATTTTGCCATCAACTGTCAGTCCTATTTACTTCATCAGTGTGGTTGTGTTTCCAGCAACTTAATTCAAACACATGATTCCTTTAACAATGCCAAGCAATTACTTGAGAAGCTCATTCTTGATCTTTTGGTCATAGGTCTCCTCAATACTCTGGACATTCAGCTCCCGTTTACTAAGTGCATCAGTTGCGCTTTTATTTTTTTCTTCTTGTAGCCGCTGAGCCCTGCAATTAGCCAAAGAGAAAGAAAGCACGTAAGAAAACCCCAACATCGGAAGTAACACATTTAGAGGGAAAGAGACACCTTGTGTTTTTAGCTCCACAGGGTAAAACCTTCACATGGCTTCCCTGCTGAGAAGTGAACTAAAAGAGCCAGAAGTCCATCTACTTTACGAACTGACTGACTTAGTTCATTAGCTAGCAGATAGCCTTCTATGGCGGCACCTGGCTAAGGGGAGTGTCAATGTGTGGTGACCAAAGTGGTTTCTTACTTTTCTACACTTACAGGAGAGAACCCACACTCAAAAAGGGGGGTACAGGGGACAAAGGGTCACAATCAACTGAGGGGTGAAAGAAGGATGCTTTTAGTTACAAAGCCACAAAGCCAACTTTAGTGTACCTTAAGTGTTTGTTTATTCTAGACTGTTATTTCTAACTGTGAGAGTTAACTGGTCCCTAAAAATCAGAGGTGGAAGATTCGTTTTGGGCATCCCTTATCTATTGACTGAAGATGCCGAAAACAGAAGGTAGGCCCATCAGAACCTCCAAATCCGAAGAATGGAGTGCTTTTCATGGGAAGACCCTCAATCAGCTGCAAAACCAATTCCGGAGCCAGGAATCAGGTTCACAGGCACTTAGACCAAACCACAGGGATGGGAGGGTTCCCGGCCAAGCATAAAGGCTTGGTGTTAGAGCTCCCTCTGCTGCCCCATCTGTACAGCAAAGGACGAGTAAATCCATTCACTTCAGTTAATGTGCTTACAAGGGAGAAGCAGGGCAAACAGAGGTTCAAGAAGTGGTTACATAATCATGATTATACAATCCAGAATCTGCCCAAACTTTGTCCCTTTTCTTTTCTCTCACATTAGCAAACTGCCACTTGAGAATTTCCAAAGAGAGTAAGGTAGGAAGAAATCAAATGAACAGAACTTACATAAATGAAAAACATTAATAAAGACAAAGACAAACCTCTTAAATAAAATACGGTTCCTGGAATATTTCGAGTTTCAAGACGCCAAATGGGAAAGAAAGCTTAATTCCACCAACTACAGACTGGGGAGCTTGCTCTTAATCCCAGCTGAGATATGAAGGAGGATACAGATGTGAGCACTTAGGGAAAGGAACACACACACCAAGAGAAATGGTTTCACCCAGGGGTGCCTGGGTGGCTCAGCGTGTGGCTAAGCGTCCGACTTTGGCTCAGGTCCTAACTGTGCGGTTCAGGAGTTCAAGCCCCTGGTCAGGCTCTGTGCTGACAGCCAAGAGCCTGGAGCCTGCTTCAGATTCTGTCTCCCTCTCTCTCTGCCCCTCCGCAATTGGTACTAAGAAAAAACAAACAAACAAACAAACAAAAAAATAAACAACCACCAGTAGTTTCTTCGCCCAGTAGGAGTCGAGTCAGAGCCACCGTCTTCCCCCTCCCCCGACAGCAGCAGTGCAGGAGAGGGCGGCAGGTCCGGGTATCTGGAATTGTTACTTTGCACACATGCAGCTACTGGATGTGAATGACTGGATGTAAGTGAGAAACATGGCATTTGTTCAAGCATTATCAGCTTCTTCAAGTCACGTGTCTGGTCATACTGTAGCCCGATGACGGCATCTCACTCTGCTTTTCATTCTAATGTGTACTAGTTCATAAGTGAAACCCTAGTCTTTCTCTTCATTTGTGCCTGCCTTTTAAAGCTAGGTGGGATCCCCTTTACAAGTGAACACTCCAACTGGCAGTTAACATCAGACTATTAAGACGTGTATTTAGTTCTTTTGAATCGTCATTCTGAATATCCCAAACGAACACACGTTACTCACAATTCAAAAGCTTCCATTCTTTGCTTCGGCTCTGCTTCTCTGCCTCTTAGCACGTCTATATCTTTGAGGAGAAGTTGTCTCTGAGCATAAATCTCCTTGGTTTCAATCTGTGTGCGAAACCGTTAGTTTTCAGCAAGCAAGCTAAAGATACAACAGATCTGAACTAATATAGTGCTTCCTCAATTCCAGAGAACTACAGAGACTTAGGGTTACAATTTCACTTTCAAGAGGTTCTGATCAGGGTACTCTTTTTGCCCATTTAGCTACCCAAATATGTATTCCGTCCTTCAATGACTGTTCAGTTCCATTATCATATATTCCTAATATTTCTGCTCTATTTATTCTACCTAATGGACATCTCTCAGACACTTAACATTTGGACAAGTGCATCAGCATGAGGAAAATGACACAGAATGTGCATGTAGCAATAAAAATTCCAAAGAATAGAATTCTCCTGGTTCTGTCGTCTGAAAGTTTCAGTTCATGGCTTATTCTCATTCAGGGTTAACAAGCTGAATGAACAGGCCACACTTCCATTTGTGTGTTCACTGAGCAAGGCTTCATGGAGTACCTGGCATGTGTCTAACAGCACACTCAGAACTAGAGGAAGACGAACAGATAGAGTTCCAATCTTTCCAAAATTCAGTTTAGTCAGGGAAAGAGAGAGAGAAATTATCACACTAGGATGTGATGACTTTTATAACTAAAATACTTCAGGACTGTGGCAGGAACAGCACCTGAGTGAGTCAGGGAAGGCATTACAAGGAAGTGACACAGCACCTGGATTTTGAAGGCCAAGAGGGTTTCATCAGGGGCACAAGAAGGGCATTGCAGGTGGTGGAATAAAGCCAGAATGCTTGGTAGGAGGATGGCCATCTTGTCCAGAGCCTTCAGAGAATCAGCAAACTCAATGAATATTCTGGTCTGGTAACTGATCTGAACTAGCCAGTCACCCGTCCTGAGGATGCGGTTGTTAATGTAAACACCATCCAATCATCTCAAAGACAGTGGTTCCAACATCGATTTTTCTAAGAACCCCATCAACAGAAATCGTACACAAAATCGTATCACATGACTGGGTCTTTCTTTTTTTTTTTTTTTTTTTTTTCAACGTTTTTTATTTATTTTTGGGACAGAGAGAGACAGAGCATGAACGGGGGAGGGGCAGAGAGAGAGGGAGACACAGAATCGGAAACAGCCTCCAGGCTCCGAGCCATCAGCCCAGAGCCCGACGCGGGGCTCGAACTCACGGACCGCGACATCGTGACCTGGCTGAAGTCGGACGCTTAACCGACTGCGCCACCCAGGCGCCCCGACTGGGTCTTTCTGAGAAGCCATAAGCAAGGATGGGTGCTGGGAGGGAGTCCTTCAACTTTTGAGGTCTCCACATAGCAGTGGTTCCAGCTGGACACAGGAAACTGTGTCCCAAATCCAGGCTGGTCTAAGACAGCTGCTTGGGAAAGGAACCAGTTTTTCCTGAAAGAGTGGACCTCATCCCTCCTGCCACTCCTTGCCCTTTCCACCTCCTGTCCAGTCACTTTCTAGGAAAGATCAAATGACCATTTCACAATCCTAGACTCCGCTACTCCAGGGACCCTCAACCCCTGTGACCCAAGGGCAGCATGCTGTACTTTGTTTCTAGTCTCCACACAACATCTCAACCTGCAGCCCTGTCCTCTGGGCCCACGCTTACTTTTCTGTCAGTGTTCTGACATCTCATCCTGGATGCCTCGGAGACTGGACACAGCCCTGTCTCCCTCCACCCTGGGTTAGTAGTCACCCACCGTCCCCCTGGCCCCTTTCACTATCCCACCGAACCCCAATGTCCTCAATCCAATAGGCTGCACTTCTCAAGCCAAGTAAACTCAGCTCTGTCGGGTCCACTCCCCAAGCGCCTCCTCCCTCGCTAATCTTACAGACTCTACCACACCAACTGCCTACAAGCAGTTGGTTCAGTCCACTACAGCTGCAGGCTGCCCGTGTCACAGCCAGGTCCTCCACACAGCTCTGCCACTCCGGCCTACTTCAGAGGGCTGCTAGGCCCCCAACCCCACGCAGCCGTTCCACACTGATCCTCTCCTCGAGGCTGCCCCCCAGCCCTCCGATCTGCCCAAGAGGAGAGAGCATGTTCAGCGGGGAGTTTTGCCCATTCCCAACATGGAAGCTAGCACCCGCAGTCCCTTCCTCCCAGCACTCTCCGGGGAGGAAGTCTCCATAACTTTTTCAAGGCCAGTCCTACCACTTGTGCTCTTGACCTCCATCCCTCATACACCTGTAGGGCTTGATCTTGGCTAACCAACTGTCACAACCCACTCTAGGGCCTGAAGCCCATCTACAAACAGCCACAGGAAATAGACACCTGGCAAAGAATTGTAAAATCTTACCTCTTGGTGCTTCTGAATTCTCTCAAGAGACAACTTTTCCCGAGAAATAAGGGCGTCAGATTTTGCTTGACAAGCTCTCTCCAATTCGTTCCGGAACTCAGCCAATTCCCTCTCAGACTTTCTTTTCTCTTCCATTTTAATTTTTGCTATTTCAGTATCTTTAAAATACTTTAACTGCGAATCGATCACCAATTATTATAAAGACTGAAAGTATACTAAGAAAATAACTTCTCTCTTCATGGTTAGGTTTAACACTAATGCTCTAAATATACTTAGTTTAACTCATCTTTAGTTTCATCTCATTCACTGTACCTGTAGAATTCACTCAAAAGACATAAAAAATGACACCGGTTGGAAAGAAAAATCATGTCTAACAGTATATCACATTCGTTAATAAAAATTCTCTATTTTTCCCCCCATACCCAAGATGAAGACACCATAGGACACCTGGGTGGCTCAGTTGGTGAAACATCTTGACTTCTTGATTTCGGCTCAGTTCATGATCTCATGGTTCATGAGTTCAAACACCAAGTCAGGCTCTGTGCTGACAGTGTGGAGCTTGCTTAGGATTCTCTCTTGCCCTATCTCTGCCCCCTCCCCTGCTTACACTCACTCACAAAATAAACTTAAATTTAAAAAAAGACCTTCAAGACAAGCACAGCAACAAGATACAGCTCGCCTTTTGACACATTTCTGCCCGAAGCTGCTGTTCCATTTCTCTCTTATGTTCATTTAACTTTACTTCTAAGGATTCTAACTTTGGACGTTGAGGGTAAGCACCTGCAAACTCATCGTCAATAAGCTGAAGCTTCTCCACTGTTAAAACAACATAGGAAATTAGCATAGAGAACTGCAGGCAGTTGAACAAGAGGCTAGAGCTCTGTTTAAAAGCAGAATATACTTAGGGGCAACTGGAGGGATGTCTGCAATTTACTTTGAAACGCCACAAAATTAAGATGGATTAATGGATGGGTCGGATAAGCGATCAGGCAAGGAGGATACAAATTTACCGGGTAAGTCTAGGTATACAAGTGTTCACTGTACAACCGTTTCCACCATTCTTTACATCGGAAATTCTCACCATCCAATGTCAGGGGGAAAGAAAGCCAAGAGTGCAACTTAAGTCAGAAAACACTCGCATCTCTTCCCAGTCCCTAAGTGCCAAGGCAGAGAGTGCTTTTATTGGACTGTGGTTAAAGTCGACTGACACGTTCAAAACACGGACCTTAAAATAAATCAAAGGTCACGTATTTTGACTCCTCTGCTTTGCAGAGAAGGAAGCAGATGCCCATATAGTTTAAATGAGTCCCAGAGGGCTAAGCAACTGTGTAAGGGCAGGACTGGGGCTGCAAGCTCGTCTGTTGCTGGGCTGTCATTCTAGTGCTCTCTCCAGTAGACCCACAGCCCCCACAACAGCTGAGGGCCAGCATCAACCAACCGCAAACCCGGACTTGCAGGATGAGCTCGATCGTGGAGAACACCACCCGCCAAAAAGGATGCACCGGACAAGGCGGCTGACACAAGTAGTTTAAAAAGATTGTCAGCGTGCGTCTTTTTAGAGAACTTTCAACAGGTTTTCCATTTACTCTTCTGGGTTTTCCAAATGCTTTACAATTGTGCCGTCCAATACAGGACTCTCTAGCCACATGTGGCCATGGGGTACATGAAATAGGACCAGTTCGAATTGAGAGGTGCTCTAAGTGTAAACACCAGATTTCAAAGATGGAGCATGGAAATTTTATATAAAATAATACCATTAACGTTTTTTGTATCAATTATATGTTGGAATATTTTGGACATACTGGGTTAAATAAAATATATTAAAATAAATTCACCTGTTCCCCCCCGCCCCCACTATGGCTACTAGAAAATTAACCGTAACATATGTGGCTATTATTGGACAGAACCACTCTAGAATAAGCATGTACCATGTTCCCAATGGAATAAAACGTAGCCCAAAAATAAAGACCTAGTCATACAGTTTAGCTTTTACAAATTATAGACTTCTCTTCTTACATGTTAAAAGTACTCTGGAGGGGACAAGACGACTCAGGAGGGGCCAAGAAACTGATTAATCACATAATTTTAGACAATTTGGACTCTAGGGGTGCCTGGGTGGCTCAGTTGGTTAAACAGCTGACTTCGGCTCAGGTCATGATCTCCTGGTTTGTAGGTTTGACCCCCCACATCAGGCTCTGTCGGCTCTGTGGACAGCTAGGAGCCTGGAGCCTGCTTCAGATTCTGGGTCTCCCTCTCTCTCTCTCTGCCCATCTCCTGCTCATGCTGTCTCTCTCTCTTTCTCTCTCAGAAATAAAGAAACATTAAAAAAAAAAAAGAAAAGAAAAAAAGAAAAGAAAAGAAATTTGGACTCTACTATTCTGACCCAGAAGGAGTGTTTCCAAGTTGCACTTCCTCTGGGGACCCCCACTTTCTGAGTTCTAAACCAAAGTGATACACTGCTGACTTCTCTAGTTTTCTCCTCAAGGCACGCAGTCAAGGATTTCCTCACTTAGTGGGTATAAATTCAAGTTAGAGGAGACCTAGGGAAGAACCTCCCAGTTGAACCCAACGCACAAAGAAGCACTTGGGCCTTCGGAGAGGGAAGGGCAGTGCAGGTGAGCAGTCCTGGCTGCATCCTGTGAGGCTTCCAGAGGAAGGAGTGCGCCTGTGCCCCCTGGGGCTTGCACCCCTCCAGGGCAGGGAACAGACCCACAGTACAGCACATCAGGTCCTTTCCTTCATTTGAGGAGAAAACAGAAACATTAAAATTCTGAAGGAGAGCCACAGTTACCAAGAGAGTCTTTGCTAGGAAATGTTGAACTTGTCTGAGTTCCCACATCACAGCTCTTTCTGGACTGATGATATTCTTCCATTTCTCTTAAAAACTGCATGAGAAAACCTACAAGACACAAAGTGTATGATACAGTTTTGCTGCGTAACTTTTCTCATTCAACCATTGCATCAACCTTGTTTCTAGGATATTGGTTTTTAAACATTCTAGATCTTCTAAGAATAATTTCTTTTTGCAAACGTGACACAAAACCTACGAGCAATAATGAGAAATATTTATCAAACAACGAAAGAATTAGAAACCTGTATGGCATGAAATGAAGTCAAAAGACAAGTGATACACTGGAAAAAAATATTTGCGAGGATATGGAGACCGAGAAGTAATTTCATAATATCAAAGGGCTCTTTTAAGTCAGAAAAAAATGGAAAAATTAGACAAAACATGGAGAAAGTTTATGCAAAAAAAAGTGTCAGAAAAACACGATCTAAACCAACAAACACTGCACTGTTCGTGCAATGCAAACTGCTGCAGCTGAAACAGTATGGAGGTTCCTCAAAAAACTAAAAATTAAACTACCCTATGACCCAGAAATTGCACTACTAGGCATTTATCCAAACGATACAAAAATGCTGATTCATAGGGGAACATGCACCCCAATGTTTATAGCAGCACTATCAATAATAGCCATATTATGCAAAAAGCCCATATGTCCATCAATTGATGAATGGATAAAGAAGATGGGGTGTGTATATCTGTATGTATACATATACACACGTGTATGTACATATGTATATATGTAGTGTACGTATAGTGCATGTACACATATACACAATGGAATATGACTTGGTGATCAAAAAGAATGAAATCTTGACATCTACAACAACCTGGATGAAACTAGAGTGTATTATGCTAAGCAAAATAAGCAGTCAGAGAAAGACAAATATATAATTTCACTCGTGTGGAATTTAACAAACAAAACAGATGAACATAGGGGAAGGGAAGGAGAAAGAAGATAAAAAGTCTTTTTTTTTTTTTTTTAAGTTTTTTTTGAGAGTGTGGGGCAGGGGCACAGAGAGGTGACACAAAGAATCCCCAGCAGGCCATGCACTATCACTGTGGACCCAGATGTGGTGCTCGAATTCACAAACTGTGAAATTATAACCTTAGCTGAAACCAAGAGTCAGATGCTTAACCAACCAAACAAGTGGTCCTAAGGCCACCCAGGAGTCCCAAGACTCTTTTTTTTTTAACGTTTATTTTTGAGAAAGAGAGACATGGCATGAGTGGGGTGAGGGGCAGAGAGAGGAAGACAGAATCCCAAGGAGGCTCTGCACTGTCAGCACAGAGCCCAACGTGGGGCTGAGTACCACAACAGTGAGATCCCAACCTTAGCCAAAATCCAGAGTTGACGCTTAACCGAATGAGCCACCCAAGTGCCCCACAATAAGAGACTCTTAAAGACAGAGAACTGAATGTTGCTGGAGGGGAGGGGAGTGGGGGGAATGGACTAAATGGGGGATGGGCATTTAGGAAGGCACTTGTTGTGATGAGCACTAGGTGATGTATATAAGTGATGAATCACTGGGTTCCACTCCTGAAATCAATACTACACTGTATGTTAACTAACTTCAATTTAATAAATAAATTAAAAAAAAAAGGCCATATATAAAACACAACTAGCATCATACTCAGTGGTAAAACACTTAGAACTTCTCCTCTAAGACCAGGAAAAACAAGTATGTCCCTCTCATCAGTTTTATTCTACATAGTACTGGAAGTCCTTGCCACAGCCACTGGACAAAAAAACATCCAAATTGGTAAGAATGAAGTAAAATCATCACTATTTGCAGATGACATGATAGCATAATATAGAGAAAACTCCAACGATTCCACCAAAAAAAACACTAGCACTGATAAATGAATTCAGTAAAGCCACACAATACAAAACTAATATACAGAAATCTGTTGCATTCCTATATAGGAACATCATATAAGAATACATAGCGAAGTAGCAATAAAAGAGTGCCATTTATCATTGCACCAAAAACAACAACAACAACAACAACAACAACAACAACAACAAAAAACCCCCAAAAAAACCCCCCAAAAACCTAGAAATAAACTTAACCAAGGAGCTGAAAGACCTATACTATGAAAACTCTCAACCACTGATGAAAGAAACTGAGTATAACAAAAAAGAAAATGTTCTGTGCTTATGGACTGAGAGAACCAGTATTGTTAACATGTCCATGCTACCCAAAGCAATCTACAGACTCAATGCAATCTTGATTAAAATATCAACAGCATTTTTCACAGAACTAGAATAATACTAAAATGTGTATGGGACCACAAAAGATCTCCAAAGAGCCAAAACAACCTTCAGGAAGAAGAACAAAGCTGGAGGTATCACAATTCCTGATTGCAAGATGTACTACAAAGCTGTAGTAATCAAAACAGTAAGGTATGGCATGACAACAGGCATGCAGATGAATGGAACAGAATAGAGAGCCCCAAAATAAACCCACTCGTACATGGTCAATCTAAAACAAAGGAGGCAAGAATATACAACAGGAGGATAAAGTAGTGTCTTCAGCAGATGGTGCTGGGCAAACTGGACTGCTACATGCAAAACAATGAAACTGAGCCACTTTCTTACACCACACACAAAAATAAACTCAAAATGAATAAGTCCTTAAATGTGAGAGCTGAAACCATAAAAGTCCTAGAAAACACAGGCAGTAATATCTTTGACATCAACTGTAGATATGTTTTTCTAGATAGGTCTCTTTAAGCAAAGGAAACAGAAACAACAACAAAAACTGATGGGACTACAAAATAAAGAGCTTCTGAAGAGCAAAGAAAATCATCAACAAAACAAAAAGGCAACCTACTGAATGGCACAAGATATCTGCAAATGATCTATCAAATAAGGGGTTAATATCCAAAATATATAAAGGACTTCTACAACTCAACCCAGAAAACCAATCTGATAAATAAACGAGCAAAGGACCTGAATACACATTTTCCCAAAGATACTCAGATGGCTAATAGACACATGAAAAGATGTTCAACATTAATGATCATCAGGAAAATGCAAATCAAAACCATAATGAGATATCACCTCCCACCTGTCAGAATGGCTAAAACCAAAAACACAAGAAACTAATGCTGGTGATGATATGGAGAAAAAGAAATCCTCTTGCATGTTGGTGGGAATGCAAACTGGTGCAGCCACTGTGGAAAATAGTATGAAGGCTCCTCAAAAAAATAGGGGTACCTGGGTGGCTCAGTTGATCGAGTGTCTGACTCTTGATTTCAGCTCAGGTCATGTTCTCATCGTTGTTGCATCAACCCTCCCACTGAACTCCATGCTAGGTATGGAGCCTACATGGGATTCTCTCTCCCTCCGTCCCTCCCCGTTCACATGCACGTGCTCTTGCTCTTAAAAAAAAAAAAAAAAAAAAAAAAAAAATTAAAAATAGAATTACCATATGATCTAGTAATTCCACTACTGGGTAATTATGCAAACAAAACAAAAACACTAGCTTGAAAAGATATGTGCACCCCTATGTTTACAGCAGCATTATTTACAATGAGCGAGATATGGAAGCAATGCAAGTGTCTGTCAACAGATGAATGGATAAAGACTGGTATGTATGTGTGTGTGCATGCATGCACAGATGGACAGACACACACACAGTTGAATTATCACTCAGCCATAAAAAAGAATGAAATTGGGGCACCTGGGTGGCTCAGTTGGTTAAGTCTCCGACTTTGGCTCATGATCTCACGGTTTGTGAGTTCAAGCCCTGCGCTGGGCTCTGTGCTGACAGCTCAGAGCCTGGAGCCTGCTTCAGATTCTGTGTCTCCTTCTCTCTCTGACCCTCCCCCACTCACACTCTGTCTCTCTGTCCTTCAAAAGTAAACAAACATTAAAAAAATTAAAAATAAAAATAAAATAAAGAATGAAGTCTTGCCATTTACAATAACACCAATGGAACTACAGGGTATAATGCTAAGCACAATGTCAGAGAAAGACAAACATCATCGGACTTTACTACAGTGGAATTTAAGAAATGAATGGAGAAACAAAGAAAAAGGAGACAGACTCTTAAATACAGAGAACTGGTGGCTGCCAGAGGGGAGGGGGCAAGGGGATGGATAAAACAGATAAAGGGGATTAAGAGTACAGTTATGATGACCATTGAGAAATGTATGTAATTGTTGAGCCATTATATGGCTGGTATATTATTTGAAACTAATAGAACACCATATTAATTACACTTGAATGAAAAGTAACAGTATTCTCATTCAATGGAATACACAGCAATTAATATGAACAAACCAATGCTAAAGTAGTGTGAATCAAGCTCATAATGTTCAGAGAAAGCCATACTCAAAATTATACTGTAAGATTCCATGTATATAAAGTGTAAAAAACAGGCAATAATAACCTATGGGGCCAGACATCAGAATAGCAATAAAGACTGGGTAATAGGGAAAGTGTAATGATTGGGATGGATACAAGGGGAGCTTCTGGGATGCTGGTATTGATCTAGTTCTTGTGATGGAAAGTACTTCCTGGGTATATCTATTTTTTGTTGGTTTATCAAGCTATGCATTTGTAATTTCTGCATCTTGTATTGTTCTATTTCAATTACCATTTTATTGAAAAATATGGACATACAACAACATAAAGAGGCTAGGGGAGGAATACCAGGCAGTGGGAGGGTGGGGGCAGGTGGTAGAGCAGAGAGCACACACAGTTAAGTTCTTCATCTTATACTGGTGTGGTTCATGGTGCCCCAAAACAATTACCCTAGTAACAAAGATTCCTGATCACAGACCCCCGTAACAGATAAAATAACAAAAATTTAAAACGTTCCAAGGATTACCAAAATGGGACAGACACAGAGTGAGCAAATGCCATTGGAAGAGTGACACTGACGGACTTGCTGGACACAGGCTTGCCAGAAACCTTATGTTTGTAAGTCCTGCAGTATCTGCCAAGCGCAATCAAGTGGAAATGGAAGAAAGTGAAGTTCGCCTGCACTGGAAGTGCTGCCAGGGGAATGCGGAAACAGGCACGTGCCAGGGAGAGGTGCCAGGGTTAGCAATGTTCAGATGAACATGCCCCGCAACCTAGTTACTCCGCTTCTGTAAACACACACAGCTATACTTCCACAGGCACACACAGCGGACTCTACCCGCCAACGGCTTCCAATGGCACAACACAGTACAACAATGAAATCTCCATCAATGGGGGTTAAACACATTCTTTGAAAGTAAGAGTCTGAGTCCACAGTTATAAACATACATTGGTGACTAAAGTAAACTGCAAAACAGTATCTACAATATGATCCCATTTAGGACTAGATGTGTTTTAATCACATAAACAGACTTGCTCATTCACAAACTAAATTCTGGTAAACAAACTGTTCATTGCAGTTATCAGTGGAAAGGGAGATCAGAGAACATGGCAGCAATTTCCACCTTTCTTTCACTTTATACCTTTCCAAATAGTTTGAAACTTTTTTTAAAACCAGGAGTAGAAATTATTTTAGAAGTTTTTAGTGTTTTGGGGCACCCGGGTGGCTCCATCAGTTAAGCGTCCAACTTCAGCTCAGGTTATGATCTTTCGGTTTGTGGGTTCAAGCCCTGCACCAGGCTCTGTGCATCAGCTCAGAGCCTGGAGGCTGCTGCTTCAGATTCTGTGTCTCCCTCTCTCTGTCTGCCCCTCCCCCACTCATGCTTGGTGGGTGTCTCTCTCATTCTCTCTCTCAAAAATAAATACACGTTAAATAAAAAATTAGAAGCTTTAGTGTCTTAAAACAATTTAAAGACTCTGCTTCTGCATGAATCAAGTTAAAGGCCTCCCCACCCCCACACCCCTCTTCTGAAGATTTTAAAATCTGGTTTTCACTTCCTCTAAGTAGACGTACACTCCATTCTTTCACATTCATTGCTTGCAGTTCTTCTTTGGCTCATCCACTGATCTTCTCTTGCCCTTTCTTTCAGTTGGCCTGTTCTCTCCTCACACCCTCCTGCTACTGTTATGCTTAGGCATGTCTGCTCTGCCTCTGGAGACAAGGTAGACACACTACAGGAACTTTCTCAGAGATGCTGCAGTAGATAATCTTTTGAGAGGTGCTCCTCTCCCTCAATCACTGTAACAGGGTCACCACTTCACAGGTCTGTGGGACTTCTCACGAACCCTAACTACTTCCACTTCTCTTTCCCCTCCCCATACACAAACCCCTCTGAAAGGATTGCTCTGATCTCCCCATTTATTCAACTGTTCTAGGTTTCACCCTTGGAGGCTCCTTCACAGTGTCTTTGTTTTGTTTGTTTTTTTTTTATTAAGCATTTACTTATGTGTAGAATTAGAAGATGCTCCAGGCTCTTCTTGTATATTCTCTGCCCTGGTAGTAGAATCGGCCATTACTCCGGGGAGCCCTGGTTCCTATTATTAAAGAACAGTCCTATTATCACAGAAACCCAATCTTAGTGTTCCAAAGTGGGCACTAGGTGTGCACACAGTTACTAGGGTGTCCTTGCTTCTAGGCCCTCTCAGCCTGCACAAGGAAAGTTGAGTGTTCTACAAACCTGTGCAGATACATTGCTATAGAGATCTCTATATATCTTCTGCTTATGTACGAAGCTAAACCTGAGTTCACAGTGAGGGGGTCTAATAAATTCACTACCACCATTATTATAGCCTCCTCCCCTACCCAACTGTAAAATTGCACTCTAACAGGGAGAAACTTGGTTCTCACCCTCTACTCTCTATTGCATTAGTTGTCCAAATCCAGTATCCATGTACAATGGCTTCAGAGCGGTTAACCAGTACTCCCATGAGACCCAGCTATCACTCCACATGCAGTGTCTATATACAGTTTCATTTGCCTTTAGTCATAGAATCTTCATTTCCAACGTCAGTGAGCTCAGCATTGTTTCTTCCCCATCCCCTCCAGGGGGGTTAGGACAGACCATTTTGTCACTGTTTGCAATCCATCCTGGGGGTACCTGACCTCCTAAATTTGCATACATTAAGCTTCACCTTTCGTGCTAGGAAGTTCTACAGGCTCTGGCCACTATTGTATCTGGTTGCTACAGATCCTACCACTGTCACAGGAAACACACTCACCTAAGAAATGTCCTGTGCTTTACCTATTCAACCCTTCCACACACCTCCCATCCCTCTAAATCCCTGGCAAGCACCGATCCACTCAGCAGTTCTATGCTTTTCCCTTTTTCAGAAAATCATATATATGGAATCATACGGTATGTACCCTTTACAGACTGACCCCTTTCACTAACAATATGCGTTTAAAGGTAACTTACATTTTTGCATGGATTCACAGTGCAAAATACCATCATCAAAATACTCACTAGTATTCCATTGTGGTCTGGATGTACCACAGCTTCTTTATTCATCCTCTTGCTCAAGAACATTTTGATTATTCCCAATTTCTGGCAATCACAATCAAGTTGCCACAAACATTCCTATTCGGGGATCTACGTGGACCTAAGTTTTCAAGTCAGTAGGGTAAATACCTAGGAGCATCACTGTTGGATGGGAAGAGTATGCTTAGCTTTAGGAGAAAACACCCATCTGTCAGAGTGGTTATACCATTTCTTAAGATCCCTTCAGGCACCAAGTTTCCTTCCCACAGAGTTAAGCTACAGATACCCACTATATACCTGAGGCCCGTGCTATCCAGTATGACCACTATTCACATGTGGCTACTGAAATTTAACATTCAGTTCGTTAGCCACACTAGCCACATTTCAAACCTTCAACAGCTACACATGGCTAGCTGTATCAGATGCACAGGGATAGTCATGCACTACCATATCAGATGGCACAGGGATAGCCATTCCCATGACTACAGAAAGTTTACACGGAACAGTTCTGCCTTGGCATACAGAATACAGGATCACTTACCATACTCAACTTCAGTATGGATGCCCTACTTCGCAGGCACTCTAGAAGGTCTTGTGATCTGATTTACTCACCCTCTGCTGACACCACTTTCAAGAGACTACGCAATTCAGTCACAGACTAATGGCTGGCAGAAAGTAAATACTGAAACGTTTGCAGAATGCTAAGTTGTAAATTAATGCCCGACTGGGGATGATAGCAATGCTGGCAACAGACAAAATCCAGGGGCACACCAACACGAGAGGGCCGTTACCTAACATTACAGGTTATTTAAAAGACCTAACGAATATGTATTACAGGCAAGTTACCAGCTGAAGTTCATGCTACGAAGTCCGTAGGCAAGTCCAGCCCACAGTCTGTACCCATGGCAGTTATAGAATGGCCTCTAGGATGGTTCTTATCAAGGCCAAAACTAATGAAACAATTTACCAGGCCCATAGCAACACTTAATAAAAAATATTTATGTAACACTTATTACTAACCAGTTATTTCACTCTTTAAGCAAATATTAATAATCTTTAAATTGTACTTTATAGATTTGTACTTTACAAAGGGGGAGATCTAGGATACAAAGATACCTAGAGCCTTAACATTGTTAGCTTGTGTGTGTGGAAATGTTTCCAACAGTGGGTATCTTTACAAAAAGTAACTTTCAAATCATTTGTTGGGTTCTATAGTGGTAGTGGTTTCTTTTTTGAGTATCTAAGAGCAATTAAGATGACTGAAATTTGGAGAAGTGATCTACATTTGTCAAAACAGATGAATCATTTTATTTATTTAAAAGCTTAGGTATCAGAGCACCTGGCTGGCCTAGTTGGTAGGAGTGTGCCACTCCCGATGTCAGGGTTTTAAGTTTGAGCCCTGTGTTACGCGTACAGATTACTTAAAAAAATAAAATCTTTAAAAAAAAAAAAAAAAAAAAAAAGGTAAGGTATTGTCACAGCACAGAAAATCAAATTCTAATTAGATTCCCTACTCTTACCCCTCAAGATTATTACGTTCAGAGTTTTACAGTAAAAACTGTTGCTATTTTCGACATATGTGAAGGCTCCTACCTATTTTGTTTTCATTATCAAATCCTGAAATCTGTTGAAAGAAAATATTTTACCTTTATTCAATGGTTCAGTTATAATTAACAGACCAAAGCAGGTTATAAAAACTAAACAATCCTACCAGTGATTTGTAGAGACTGGATTCAGGGTTGATTTTGAGGAGTTGCAATAGATTTTGTACAGTAAATGCCTTAAGGGAAAAAAATTAAGTAGACAGATTTTTACATTGATGTTTAAATGATAAATCATGATGTCCATAAAATGTAAGAATCATTCTAACAATGTAAAATTGAAGTATTTCCTTATACTACTGATAACAAACATATTCAAGTCACAAGGATAAAATATTTTTCCCAATCACAGAATTAACCTCCAAATATTCATATCAAAGATAATGGGTCTTATAGAAATGGTTAATGCCTTACAGATTACAAACACTCAAATCTGACAAACCAATGAATACATCTGTGAATTCCAGGGTTTATTTAAAATGCAATTTCAATTGCAATAAAGTTTTCAAAATACTACTGCTTCAAAATATAAAGTTTCACTGTCTTTACAATAATGACTAACAAAAGCATATCTAAAATAGTTTTAAACAAACAGTTTGGGTAGTTATTCTTAATCTGTATTTCTACTACGATACGTATCATTTACTAGGACTTCCCTCAGAACACTGACATGGTTTTCCTTTAAGATATTCCTTAAAGGAATATCCTTAAAATAATCCTTAATTTCCTTAAAATATTCTGCACAGCATTTTATCCTGTATGAGCAGGATTAAGTGTTGTTGGAACAGCTATGTAATTGACTGTTACTCAGGCAATAAGCAAAATTGTGACATGTAATTAGAAACTTCAGGGCACCCAACTGGCTCAGTCAGCAGAACATGTAATTCTTGTTCTTGGGATCATGAGTTCAAGCCCCACGTTAGGCACAGAGCTTACTTTAAACAAAAAACAGTGGCACCTGAGTGGCTCAGTTGATTTAGCATTAGACTTCAACTCATGTCATGATGTCATGCTTCATGCATTTGAGCCCCGTGTCAGGCTTTGTGCTCACACCACAGAGCCTGCATGGGATTCTCTGTCTTCCTCTCTCTCTGCCTCCTCCCCTGCCTGTGCTCTCTCTCAAAAATAAACTTTAAATAAAAAATAACAACAACAACAACAACAAAACTTAAAAAACTGACATACCAAATAAGAATTCCTAATGTTAATAAAATTTGGTCATTAATGAATACAGCATATTTAAAATTTCTGATACTAATCCTGTACTTATTTTGTTCAAACCTCTGGATATAAACTTTTGGACAATTATAAACAAGGTAAAGAGTAAAAACACAGAGAAAACACCAAGAGTCAAACTATGGACTTCAGCGGAGAAGATGTGACCATGTAGGTCCCATTGCGGAAATGTATGTAATAAAATATGTCACTAGTAGGGGAGGCTGTGCAGGTGTGGAAGCAGGGAGCACATGGAGTATTTTCCTTTGTGCTCAATTTTGCTCTGAACCTCAACCACTCTAAAAAATTAGTCTATTAAAAAAATAGGCAGATTGCTTAAAATAATCAAGCATGACTAGATTTCTCTACCATTCCCATTGAACAGAAAGTAATTAGGAAAGTGGTAAAAATAGGTGTTTTAGTATTTGAGCATTCCACAGGTTTTTAAAAATGATTGTATCCTTCACTACTCTAGTGTAATCCCAGGGAACATAAATATCTGAAGAGACTTTAACTTAGTAAAAAGAGCACACTTCAGAGATCTAGGTTTAATGCTCTTCACCCATATTTACAAATCATGTGACCTTGAGCAAAATATGTCACCTCTCCAGAGGATGGTTCCTCCTCCGCAACGCAAAGGACACCAGCTGTGTTGCCAGCTTGGTGACAAGCTTCCAACAGTCAACGTAAATGGCAACTCTGCATCTTAGCAGACTACATAGATTGGGAAACTAATTCTAGCTCCAAAACATTTAGTGAGTCTGCACATCATGATTTTACCCAAGACTAATGGAGCCTCCATGGAACTGGTAAACCATCAAGTTTAGTACTCCTTTGTTCCATTACAGAACAAACATAGGATGGGAACTCAAAGATGAAGGAGAAATGGACCTAGCTAGCCAAGGAACACTCAGCTATTATGCAGCACTTACTATTACCTAGAAAGAAGCTGTTAACAGAAAACTCAAAAACAGAAGAGTAAACACTTTACCTTTTCTTTGGCCAAACGAGTTTCCAGAAAGAAAACAGAAAGTGAATACTCATAGCCACAGCTCTTCATGTGATCTGCCACTAGAGCGTTGGACACATCTGTTAGAAGGGCACTCCCTTCCACTGGAACAGACTGGGGTTGCAGCTCTCCGTTCAAGACAGGGTGCATCAATTCATGAATCAGCTGCTTCCGGAGTTGTGTCTAGCTCAAACAACCAAAACCAAACAGGAGGGAAAACGTTTTCAGCAGAATTGCTCCACTGGAGGTAGGATTCACCCATGAATTAGAATCCTCATTTCCAGAACGGTTCTAGGTCCAGGACCCAAAGTCAGGAACCTTCCCCTATATGCGGTCTTACCCTGTGACACAAGTAGCCCATCGGGTTCTGGAAAAAGAAACTTGTTTTCACCAGCTTCCGAGCTAAACTGGTGGTTAGCCGCAACACAGGCAGATAGATTCTAACTTCACTTCCCCAGAAGCCCATCTCAGCAGTTTTTAATCAGAATATCAAGTAGAGGAGACAATTCTGCCCATTTCTCACCTCTCTGTGAACTGTTGGAGGGTCTGAAGTGGAATTCCCAAAAGGGAAATCACATATGCAAGAGAAAGGAGTAAACCCAAAAACTTTTTAAGATGTACTTTCACATACAGTATTTACATCTCAAGACACTGAAGTACAGCAATTTTCTCACATTTTCTAAGCAAGAAAATTATAGTTCAAAGTAGTTCATTTTCTCAAGGTTTTAACACTAACATTATTCATTTGGTTTTAACAAAATTACCTAAATTATTCAGACTACTGGGTGTTTACTGGGTGATATTCTGCATATCATCTGGAAACACACAACTGGGCTGAGTTTAACAGTACGTTGCCTAGGGCACCTGGGTGGCTCAGTCAGTTGAGCATCTGACATCAGCTCAGGTCATGATCTCACAGTTCATGGGTTTGAGCCCCATGTCGGGCTCTGTGCTGACAGCTCAGAGCCTGGAGCCTGTTCTGGATTCTGTGTCTCCCTGTCTCTCTGCCCCTCTCCCCACCCTGTCTCAAAAATAAATAAATATTAAAAAAAAAAAAGAGTACACCACATAGACTCATGGGGTTCAGCACGAAGTATTATCTAATGAATTCATATTAACAGAATACAAGAAACAGAGTACTTGTACTTCTTTTATCCTTCAGCTAGAGGGTAGAGCAGTAAATCATTACCAGTACAGAACAGGACTATAGAAGTCCCACCATAAAACAAGACACTTATACTCAACAGAATATACATGCCCTGCCTCATCCAGTACAAGTCAGTAATGGAGACAGAACGAGAGAAATTATAGCATTCTCCACCAGTAAAATTTAGAGGTGATTTAATTAGATTTATAACACACTGAATAACATATTTAGATCCGACTTATTCTGATGTTTCCTCCCTAGTCTAGCTTGTGAGATACAAGTTTTGACAAAAAGACCAGACCACCAGTTTAATATATTGATTTGTATGTACACTCTAAGTAGAAGTTCTATTAAGGGTGAACAAAAACTGAATTTCCTATTTCTCAGAGAAATGAAAGCATACATCCACATAAAAACTTGTAAATATTAATAGCAACTTTATTAATTACAGTCCCAAACTGCAAACAATCCAAAGTCCACCCCTGGGTGAATGGATTAAAAGGAAACATAAACGTCAAAACATAGAGAACTTCCAAAAACATACCGAGTTAAAGCGATATAAAAGATGGCCCCATGTATACACAGTTGTTGCAAACCATCCTGACAGAGCAGATTAGCAGTCACCTGGGGATCAGAGGTGGAAGGAAGGATTGCACTGCAGAGGGAAATGAAATTTTTAGGACGATGGAACCGTAATAACATATCTTGGTTGTAGGGTGGTTTCATAGATGTTATGTATTCTTTCCAAACTCATTAAGCTGTAAATTTTTAGTAACTGTCATTTACTGTACATAAAAGTATGTCATAATAAAATTGATTTAAAAATTGAAAAAAAAATAGGTCCAGCTTAATAAAATGATTTAGCGTAAAATTTAGAGAAGGGACAGAAGGAGAAAGTAAAATAAGGATAGAAAAAAAAAAAAAAGAAAGGGCATTACAGATGAATCCTCAGCTCAACAAACACAAAAGCATGCCATCCAGCACTTGCTGGAAGGAATCACAAAACTGGCTGGGGGCTCTCCAGCAGCCAATGCCAAGAGGAAAATCCATTCAGAATTAATGTTCCTACAAAACAAGTAGGTACAATTATTGTGAAGAGACTTGTGAATCCTCCATTCATCTCTCTTAGAAGTTAACAGAGTAGACTCAAAGTAAGGAAAAAGATTTGATAATCTCTCAGAGATTTTTGCACTTCAGTGCAAATACAATTTCTTTTCAAACACCTAAATGGAATGTGAATTAGGCCACTAAAAAATTCAAAGGATTTTAAGAATTAAAACCCACTCAGGCCACAGTCATTGAACTGAGAAAACAAAAATGAGCTCAAATTTAGGAAGTAAAAATCTGTCTTGCCATTGGTTAGGCTGGAATAACAGAACCAAAAGCCAGCTGCAAGAAAAGAAACACTATTTCTCCAGCAGATACACTACATTTGTAAAGTGAACAAGGCTAGCATAATCCTGATACCAATCCCAAACCAGGACAGCTTAAAAAGGGTAAGGATAGATCAGTATCAATTGTAACTGCAAATATGAAATAAAACACCCTCAAATTGAATCCAGAAGTACACTAAACGAAAATATGCCATGGCCAGAAATCCAAGGACCATTCCACATTAGAAAGCGTATTAATGCCTTGTATACAATAATTAATTCCAAGTGGGTTAAAGATTTAGCTGTAAAAAAATAAATAAAGCCTTTTAAAAAACTTAATGAAAAGTGAATATTCATTCTTTTAATGGAAAAGAACTGACAACAATCAGCAAAAAAAATTTATCAATAGATTTGGCCACATTTAAAAATGTAACATCAGGATTTTTAGAACCAGATTAAACTTGAACACCGAGATAAAGTATCACTGCAAAAATAGAACAGAGGTTGTTTCTACTAAAAGACCTCTTATTTATTAAGAAAACATCGCTGGGGGGGGGGGTGGGTGATGGGCAAGGAACATGAGTTGCCAACTCACAGAAAACACATGAATACCCAGAAATATGTGCAACCTCATTAACAATCAAAAGAATATTAAAATGAGGATTTTCTGGGGCGCTTTGGTGGCTCAGGCGATTGGGCGTCTGACTCTGGTTCAGGCCATGATCTTCCTTTCTCAGATTCGAGCCCCAAATCGGGCTCTGTGCTGAAGGCTCAGAGCCTGGAGCCTGTTTTGGATTCTGTTTCCCTCTCTTTCTGCCCCCCTCCCGCTGATGTTCTTTCTCTCAAAAATAAATATACGTTAAAAAAAGTTTTTAAAAAATAGGGTTTTCTAATGCTTAAAAAATGTCATAACATTGAAGAGATAAGCATTATCAAATTGCTGGTGGAATATATACTATTACAATCTTTCTAGAACAAGACCCATATACCAAGAGCCTTAAAAACGGTCATGCTTTTGGGTCAGTAATGCCACTTAACCTATCCTAGGCAAAAAACGAGACATAAAATTGAAGGAATGTGTATAGACCTGGGTATAATGTAAATTTTCAACAGGGGCCTACTATTGTTACACATTCACAGACAAGCCTGCTGTCACTGAAAATAAGGATTTCAGGGACTTTAAAGGATACAGAAATATGTTCACCGTATGATATTGAAAGGGAGGGGTGCCTGGCTGGCTCAATCAGAGGGTGGGACTCTGGTTTGTGGGTCTGAACCCTGCAAGGGATATGGAGATTACTTAAAAATAAAATCTTAAAAGAAAAAAAAAAGATACACAATTGCGAATTAGTTGTTGTACTACAGATGACATTTCTCCATGTCTTTTTTTTTCTCCATTTTTTTTTTTAATTTTTCAGAGGAAATGTTTAAATTACCAAAACAAAGAGGGAGGAAATTTTTTAAAAAGATCACTTTTCCTTAATTTGACATTTTAAATATAAAATATACTTTTGAAATGTATACAATAATTAAAACATGAGCTAATCCTACTCCTTGCTGTTCATACAATGTGTACTAATATTTGCTGCCCAAATATTGATACATTTCAATCCATTTTAAGGAAGAAATTTCTTATTCCCCAAATTATTCTATGGTAAGGAGTACACTTAATGTTTCCTGTATGGTGTCAATATCCCTCATTCAAGAGTGAGTACTATTACAAAACCACTTATTATTAATTCAGGACATGCAAGCTAGGTTTATAAACCAATTCCAACTTTACTAAAATGTGTTCATTTTATAAAGTTACCCGTACTACCTTAATAGGTAAACCTATTTGAATTATGCTCTTTTATTTGAATTATTTGAATATGCTCTTTTAAGACGACTCAAACTCTAAACTATTTTCAAGACTTCTGTTCCAGAACAAAGAGTTTTACAGGAGCAGAAAAATGTAATTCACCAATACAATCTATGTCCTATTTTTAAGACCCAATATCTGGATGTATTTAAATGGGAACTACCTGCTACAGATTACACTTGGAAAAGTTATGTGACAGACATGCCTAAAAGGGATACCTTGAGCGTGTCCAGTACACCCCGATCCTTAAACATCTGGTATAGCTTTTTTCGCAGTTCATCCTGACTCAACACGTCAGATGTGGGGGGCATGGCGAACTGGAAGAAAGAATGGTTATGGGTTATCTGGCGTATGAATTTCTGAGAACAGACAAGTGGCCTCCCGGAAAATCCTAAGAGGACAAGCAGCTAGGAGGGGGAATGAAAGGAGCTATAAGGAAAGCAAACAAGAGACCCCTTTTCCGCCCGTCCCGAGGAGGAGGCAGTGTATGTACCTGAGACATCAGGTGCCGGCTTCGCCCGAACCCCCGCCCCTCCGCCCGTGCTGTCTCGGCCCGAGTTGACAGCCAGCCCCAGCTGCAGGCTCAGGATGAGGGGAATCCCTGCCTTCTGAGCCCATTCCCTGCCTGGAGGGGGCAGCCGAGAAGAACAAGACAGCTGAACTTTTTACTTTGCTTTCGACTCTAAACCAGCAGAGACGCACTGCCTCTCTCCCCGGTTCTCACGGGTGGGCGGGGTCGCGGTCCACGCGTGACTTTCCCACGCAACTGGAGGGCGGGGACCGGTAGTGAGGCTACGAGAGAAAACAAGGTACGACGGGAGTTCGTGGAGCCCAGCGCTGATCCCACCCCTCCCGGACGCCGCCAGACCAAACGGCAATTACCGGGTGAGTCAAGGAGCAAGCGTTTTGCCGCGCGCTCCTCTGCCCGGAAGCTCCTCCGACTTCTCGTGAGAGCTCAGCGGCGAGTCTCGCGAGCATTTCCCAGGGCGTTCCCAAAGATGCTGCAGAGCACTGACGGGTGTGTAGCGGGAGCTGAGGTGGTGTTTCCGTAGTCGGCTTCGCCGGGTGGGTAGGAGATGGAACAGGTAGGTGCCGGAGCTCCAAAGGACGTTTCGGGTCCCGCGTGACGCGGATCTTGGCCCAGTGTCTTCACCCCGCGGTGGGGGTGGGGGGGGGGGGGGAGGCGCAGCCGGGCCCGATCTGGTCAGCCCCGGGTCGGCTGAGTTTATCACAGGCCACTCGGCCAGGGCATATCGCGTTTAGGCCGGCAGGCGTCGGCCAGCTCAGGAGCTTGGCTTTGTCTTGCCTTTCACTAGGTTCATTCAGCTAACCGGGTTTTGTTTTGTTGTTAACCACACGGTTGTCATTTGGAGCTGGAAAATTAATCGTGGGCACTGTCCTGTGAAAGGAAGAGTTTAGTCCTCTCACCGGCAGCGTGGTATCTCTATTTTAATTGTTAGGAATTGCTCAGTAACATTGACCCAAAGGAGTTTCTACGTGACCTCAAAGGAGCAGCCCAAGGCTCGGCTCTGGAGCGATTTGGAAGGTCTGTCTAGTCCAGAGTTAAATACGTGGCACTCAAGTAGGGTACTGCCCTTTCCCAAACCCACAGAAAATGTGGATCATTGATTACAGCTGTCTCTCCTGCTAGAGCTTTCTTGTCTCCATGTTAAATCAGCACCAGGTCCTGGCAGTCACTACTGGTTAATGAGAACCAGCTCACCAATAGTGACTCATTTGCCATCCCTAGTCGAATCTCTTTTCTTTTAGATAGCATGTATTATATTTGATGGTAAGATCCTGCTGTTTCTCACTCCCCACCCCCAGAAAGTTCTTCCCCTCCACACCTCAGCTTAAATATCCTTAGTTCCTTCACTAGCTCTTTTTTCCAGAGCATTTCCTTCCAACACAGTTCAGAAATATTTTTATTTTTTTCATTTATATTTATTTATTTATTTATTTATTTATTTATTTATTTATTTATTTATTTATTTATTTTCTTATTTTCTTATTTATTTATGGAGAGAGAATCCCTAGCAGGCTCCACACTGTCAGCACAGACCCTGATGTGGGGCTCGAACTCATGAAACCATGAGATCATGACGTGAGCCAAAATCAAAAGTTGGAGGTTTAGCTGACTGGGCCACCTGGCAACCTCTAAAAAAATTTTTTAATTAAAAAAATCATGCTCTTTGGGGCACCAGGGTAGCAGGTTATCATCCCAGAGTCATGAGGTGGAGCCCCACACCAGAGGTCAGGCTCTGCACAGGGCAGGTAGCCTGCTTAAGATTCTCTCTGTGCCCTTCCTCTGTGCACAGGTACATTCTCAAAAAAAAAAAAAAAAAAAAAAAAAAAGGTTGAAAATCATGCTCTTTGAGAAAATTGGAGTTCAGCAGATCTGTGTCTTCTGTTATTATGTGCCAGGTGACCTTTCTCCCCTGGTTTTTCCTGATTGTAGTGTAAGGTGGCATTTGTTTTTCTTCTTTGACACATTGCCATTCATTTTGCACTTTTCCACTTCTAATGCTAGCCTCACAGATTTGTGGTTTCATTTTTATGTTTATAAAAAAGGGTTGGAGGCCACTAACTAGGAAGGTTTAAATAATCTCTGCACCTAGTGTTGTACTTGAACTCACATCCCTGAGATCAAGAGTTGTTCGCTGCTCCAACCAAGCCAGCCAGGCACCCCATTCATGCCCTAGTTCTTACATCATGTATACACCCTCTCTCAGTTCAGGGTAGTCCAGCGCTTTTTGTTATCACTACGTTAATTTTAGTTGTCCATCTCAAAAGCAGCTCAGGTCACCATAGCCATCAGTGACAGCTGCTGTTTTTACCCCCGGTGAGAGTCCAGTCTCTGGTCATGGAGGGTTTCTTCACAAGTGCCTCAACTTCAGCTTCACACAAAGGTGCAAAAATCATTTGACCAGGGGCGCCTGGGTGGCGCAGTCGGTTAAGCGTCCGACTTCAGCCAGGTCACGATCTTGCGGTCCGTGAGTTCGAGCCCCGCGTCGGGCTCTGGGCTGATGGCTCAGAGCCTGGAGCCTGTTTCCGATTCTGTGTCTCCCTCTCTCTCTGCCCCTCCCCCGTTCATGCTCTGTCTCTCTCTCTGTCCCAAAAATAAATAAACGTTGAAAAAAAAAAAAAAAAAAATCATTTGACCAGACTTCGGTTAGGCCTCTAGGCCATGAAGGCCTCAGCACTAGAACTTTAAGAAGGTTGTTTTCTGCATTGAGTCTAGTTAATCCCAGCCTGCCTCTTGTTCTTGTGTGTTAGCTTTACCTGACCCCGTCTCAGCTGTTGCCCCCATCCACGCAGTTCCCCTCTGCAGGAGTGGTGCCCTTACTATGTGCCAGGCTCTGCTGCAAGCATGAGGGATGTGTGCTGGGAGACAAAAACAGCCTCTGTTCTCTAGATTATCATCCCCAAGTTGCCCCAAGTAGCTTCCCCTTGAGGCACCCCCGTCCCCCGGTCTCCCATTCCCCTCCCTCGGGCCTTTCCCACAGTGCTTTGAAAGCTTTGTCCCGTGGTAAACGAACTCCCTTTGTCCTCAGTCTCCCTATAGAGACTTTTTTTGCTAGTACTTTGAGTATTTTCTTTTTTCTCATTCCTGCAGGCTTTTCAGCCTTGACATTTGTTTTCTGCTACCAAACAAATCCTCACCAGTTGAGCGGCTTAAACAACATGAATTTATTCTCTTACAGTTCCGTAGCAGCATAGAAGTCCAGCATAGGCCTCCCCAGGCTGGAATCTAGGTATCCTCAAGGCTGTGCTCCCCTCTGGAGGCTGGCAGGAAGCGTGGCTCTCTTTGTGCTTTCCAACTTCTTGAGGCCGCGCATGTTCTTTGGCTCCTGGCTCTTTCTTCCATCTTCAGCCCCGCCAGCGTGGTGTCTTCGTGACCTTCCTTCTGACCTTTCTCGTGGGCCTCTCTCTTCCACTTTTAAAGATCATTTTAGTTATATTGGGTGCACCTGGCTCATCCAGGATCCTTTCCCGATCTTGAAATCCGCTGACAAGCGCCCTCAGTTCCACCTGCAGCTTTCATTCCCCTCTGCCCATACATTAGCACTCACAAGTTTTTTTTTGTTTTTTGGGTTTTTTTTTAATTTTTTTTTTCAACGTTTATTTATTTTTGGGACAGAGAGAGACAGAGCATGAACGGGGGAGGGGCGGAGAGAGAGGGGGACACAGAATCGGAAACAGGCTCCAGGCTCCGAGCCATCAGCCCAGAGCCTGACGCGGGGCTCGAACTCACGGACCGCGAGATCGTGACCTGGCTGAAGTCGGACGCTTAACCGACTGCGCCACCCAGGCGCCCCAGCACTCACAAGTTTTTGAGATTAGGATGTGGAAACCGTGGGGCATGCTGTTCTGACTACCACCACATGTTCAGAATTGATGTGTTGTTTCATCCCTCGTTTTTCCCTTATTTCCTTTCTTGGCAAATAGACTCATCTTGATATTCTGCTTGATCATCTCAGTCAGGCATTTGGGAACATCCTTGATTCTTGCTGCTTCCTCAGTTCCCCAGTTTAATCCATTGCCAAGTTGTGTGTAGCCTTTCCTCCATACCTCGAGACCGAGTCGTCCTTGAGATGCTTGAAGGGCCTCTGTTTTGGGTGATGGGAAAATCGAGCAGACACCCACACACACACAGCCAGTTGCTTTATTTGTATTACATACTGTAGTTCTAAGTAATACTTGCTTTGTGGATGGAGGGAAGGTGGAAGAGGTTGCAAAGCTTAAAAAAAGTTTCAAATCACTGTTCTAGAGCTACACTGTCCAATACAGTAGCCACTAACCACATGCGGCTATTTAAATTAATTAAAATTAAATGAAGTTCCAGGTTCCGTCTTGCAGACACAGTAGCCACCAGCGGCTACCACATCGGACGGTGCAGATATAGAACATCCACCCTCCCCTACCAGAAACTTGAGTGTATCAGACAGCACAGACTTCTAAAGTGCATCTCCCTTTGCCTACCACCTGAGCATAATAAGCCTCAAATATTAAAGGAGTAACCTTCCAGCTTTCCCTGTAGAATCCAGTAGTTACAGTACTCCTTCAGTTGCTGTGAAATCAGACTCTTGGCAGTTCAAGTTCTGCCCAGCGGGACGGTTTGTGACATAACCTTTATGTGGTTACGGTTCCTTCGGTCCCCTTTCTGTTTATCCTCACCCTGTACGGACACTCTGCAGGTATAGGAATGAGGGTTAGCTTCCTTCTATGTGTATAGTGTGCTGCTTCTGACTAAGTGTTTGTACCGAAGAAATTAAGCCCTTCCCTTGGCACACTCTAGCCGTGAAACCTATTAATGAGATCATTGTCGACTTTGTTGACATTTCCAGCTCCCATCCCCCTCCCCCTTGAGAATTTCTTTCTTTTGAGAATCACTGCTGATTGTCCTGGTTCTACATAGCTTTTATAGCATTACTGCTTGTGTTTGTTACTCAGTTTTACTGTTTGGGCCTTTTTCTCATCTTCCCACTAAGACTTTTTCTGTAAAGGGTCAGACGCTCTCTGTCGCACCTCTCCCACTGTGCCATTCTGTTGTCCAAAGGCAGCCTTAGACCCTAATAAAAGGATGGACAAGGCTAGATTTGGCATGCAGGCTGCGGTGTGCCAACTCCTGCCCCATTGAAATCCCATTGACCTAAGTGTGCCAAAAGAAAGTTCCATCTGCCTTGTCTTCCACTCACGGGCCTTCCAAGTCCAGAGGTAAAAGTGCCAGCTGTGCTTTGATTTCCTTAACAAAAGGTTGTGCTCATTAGGAAATATGTTTCAGATGTTCTGTATGAATGAGCAGAACTCTCAGTGTGGCTCAATTAGCCCTCGGCTCTGACATTTGTCCATCAGACTCTACTCTCAGGTAACCAGATTGCTGCTCCAGGTGGAGGCCGTGTCAGCACACCTCCCTGTGCATATGCTCCTGAGCATCTCCCATGAGCCAGACATTGTGCCCAATGCTTCACATGCATTAGGTTGTGTAATCCTCAAGGTCTGTTTAAGGGACCTATTATCGTTCTGTCTCTCCCACCAGGAGGAAACGGACATTGGGAATTTAAGGACACATTATTATTATTATTTATGGTCACATTATTAAGTGGCAGAGCTAGACCTGAATCTAGTTTTGTCTGATTCCAAAGACCCTGTGCTAAAAGTACATACAGAAATCCTTCCACCCATCTGTCCGTCTGTGCAGATTTTGATTGTGCTAAAAGCCACAGAAGCATGGATCCTCCCCTGCAACTGCTTCCCCCCACATTCTCTTCATTTTATTTCTTCAGCAAACCTGTTAACCCTAGTTCTAGGACTTCTTAATGTCTCAGATGTCTTTCTTTTTGGATTATGATTTCTGTCATCTTTTCTGGAATATAAAATTGTGTCTTCATTTCTTACTGTTTTTTTAAAGATTTTATTTTTAAGTCATCTCTATACTCAACCTGGGGCTTGAACTCCCAACTGCAACATCAGGAGTTGCACACTCCATGGACTGAGCCAGCCAGGGGCCACATGTCTTCCTTTCTTCTGAATATTGCAGGAGGAGGCATATCCTAGGCTCTTGCATTTGCAGACTTAGATTTGTAGCATACATACTTCAGATAAGAAGAGGACAAAATCACCCTTTATTCGTTTCTCCCATTGTTAGTGTTAATAATGCTAACTGGTCCATTCCAAGTTTGGCTCACCTTACTCTGAATATTCCAAACTTTCAGGTCATGAGGATGTTATTATTATGATTTTGTATTAGAGGTCTTCCAGTTTCCTTATGAAAATTCAAGTACTGGATTCTACAGGACATATCACAGCATGTAATTTGTATAGTCAGAAAGCGAAATGTCTATGGCAGTATACTGGAAAACATGACAAGCTTAGTGTTCTCTTCTACAATGTCAGGTTTAAGTAAAAAATTGAATTTTAGACTTCTTGTTATACATTTTTGGTTTTCAGTATGAAGTACTAAAAATGTGTGTTATTTTCATTTAATTAGGAGTTTTATATTGAAGACAATGTCTGGAAGCTTTTACTTTGTAATTTTTGGCCACCACGATAATCCAGTTTTTGAAATGGAGTTTTTGTCAGCTGGACAAGCAGAATCCAAAGTGCGTATGGAAACATAAACAATAAAGTGCATATGGAATGTAATAAAATCCAAAGTGCATATGGAACATAAACAATAAAGTGTTGTTATGCTGTTGTGATTGTAAGGTGTGGTGTGATTTTACAGCAGGGGGGAGATCTGAACAGAGGAGGTAGCTGGAATCCGTCACAGTTAAATGAGGCTTGCTCTGCAGTCCCACAGGGTGATAGAAGCCAGCAAGGGACCATCCTCTGAGTCATTTATTCACCCTTAAATCCAACGCACACTTGGCACAGACTAGCAGGATGTCCTGGGTCTCTGCTAGGTCCATTAGTAATCTACATAGTAGATCCATTTACACCTGGGAGGGTTGAAGGACCCTTGCCTCCGTGTCCTCCTGCTGCCTCTGAGACTAGAGCAGTTTTCAGTGACCTTCTGCACCACCTACTGACTGGTGCCCACATGCTGTCCTCCCTGGTGATGCCACCCAACTTCCATGTTGCCAGTAATGCCTCCAAAAAAACAAGCTTGGTTCAGAAGGGAACATGTTGCCATTCATAGTAAACCTACAGTCTTGAGAATCCCTGGGTCCCTCTCATCTTTCTGTACTCGTCCATGTTGCTAATAAACTGCTGGCAAGTTATGCTGTGTTTCTCCCAAGTTCCAAAATAAGCTCTCATGGCCTTCAAGACAAGAATTGAATTTTGGAATGAATTGTCATGCATAATGTCCAGTGTATGATGCTTTTTTAACTATTTAAATCTTGCCACTAAAATATGTAGAAATTTGTGTTCTCTGTCAGGTGGTTTGTTGCCCCACTATTTTTCCCACATCCATATGAGTGCACTGCTCATTACAACTTCCTGTTGAAGTGTCTCTGTAGCAATGGTTGCCGTGTGGCACTCGGCTGCTTATATAGTTTTGTGGCCTTGTGGTAGGCAGAGAGCATTTTTCTTTTACATTTTTCTTCTAGTCTCGTGATTGATCATCCATGTAAAGTGACGGAAAACACAGCTGTAAGCCAGGCACAAAATAATCTCTTTCTCTACGGAGTAAATTTGCTTCATCATGGTGATATGCTGAGCTGTGCGACGGGGGGAGGGGGGATTCCAAGGCAACTGGAAGCCCTCCCCCAGCCCAGTCGCAGGAACAGTGTCTACAGCAAGCAGGTAATATTAGGTTGCCTCTCCCAGGTCCCACATAACAGAGCACCACAAACCAGGTGGCCTAGAGTAACAGAAGCTCATGGCCTCACTGGTCTGGAGGCTAGAAGTCTGAGAACAAGGTGTAGGCATGGCCAGC